TCCCCACGAAGCCAAATTTCCCGCCAAAAGTAACATACGATGACATTCCTATCATTAAACGACCGGCGCCTCATGATTGCGGCAATTAAAATGGGAAATAAATGGCTCAGGTAGCGTGTGATAATGGCGTAGGCCTACTGGGAATGAAGATAGGCCTGGGAGGGGAAAAATGTGTTTATTTCAAGTATTATGGGATTTTCATTTCCCGCCAAAAGCAATAACGGTCTTCAATATATTTTACCTTTTTTCTCTCTATTTTCCCCCCACTCTCTCTTCCACTCCTACATTTTCTATGCTCGTTTCCCATCATATTTAATTAATTTGCGCTTATACGAAAATTGCTGATGTGATATGATTTGATAATTAAGCGTGAATAATAATAGTTTAGCGGTATGATCCCTTTGCCAGGTGTCAATGGCGGTTGGGTTCTGAGGCTCAGGGCTCGAGTTTTTATCCGTTGGTGGTTCATGGATTTCAGATATTTAATACGAGTCATAATGTGTGTTTGAATTTCTCTCTCTCTCTCTCTCTTTTCTCTCTCTTTCTTTCTTTTTTTCTTTCTCTCTTTCTCTCTCTCTCTTTCTCTCTCTGTCCTCTCTCTCTCTCTCTCTCTCTCTCTCTGTGTGTCTCTCTTGTCTCTCTGTCTCTGTCTCTCTCTCTCTCTCTCTCTCTCTCTCTCTCTCTCTCTCTCTCTCTCTCTCTCTCTCTTCTCTCTCTCTCTCTGTCTCTCTCTCTTCTCTCTCTCTCTCTCTCTCTCTCTCTCTCTTCTCTCTCTCTCTCTCTCTCTCTCTCTCTCTCTCTCTCTCTCTCTCTCTCTCCTCTCTCTCTCTCTCTCTCTCTCTCTCTCTCCTCTCTCTCTCTCTCTCTCTCTCTCTCTCTCTCTCTCTCTCTCTCTCTCTCTCCTCTCTCTCTCTCTCTCCCTCCTCTCTCTCTCTCTCTCTTTCTCTTCTCTCTCTAATGATAGGAATAATGATAATAATGATAATAATAAAATTAACAATAGTAATGATGATGATTATGATAATACTGATGCTAATTCTAATACTAAAGTTAATGAAAATAATAATGATAATGATAATAACAAAAACATTAATAATGATAACAATAATTATGAAAATAGTGGTAGTTGTGGTAGTAATAGTAATAACAATAATGATAATGATAGTTATAATAACAATGACAATATTAATGATTATGATAATTATGATAATCAAATGAGAACGATAATAACAGCAATAATAATAATAGTAATAATGATGATAATGATAATAATATAATGATGGAAATTAGATAATGACTGTAATGATAATAATAATAACTTTGATTTTTATCATTGTTATTAACATTATTGTTATTATCATTTTCATCATTAGAATGATTGCTATCATTATTATTATTGTTATTATTGCTGTTATTGTCAATATCATTATCAACAGCATTATCATTATTATTTTCATTATTGTTATTAATACAGTTGGTGTCATTATTATGATCATTATCATTATTATTGCTATTATCATGTTCATTATTATCATTAGCATAATCATATTCATTATTGATATTACTAGTACTATTATTATCATTATTGTTATCATCATTACTGATACTATTATCATTTTCTTTATTATTATTATCATTATTACTTTCTTTTTCTTATTATTATTATAATAATTATTATTATCATATCAATATTATTATTATCAATATCATTATTGTTATAATTATCATCATTATCAGTAGCATATATATGGTTATGCTTATTGTCATCATTATTTCTATACTTATAATTGATACCATTATTATTTCTATCATTATTGTTATCATCATCATCTTTATTATTATTTCTATTGTCATCATTACTATTAGTAGTGGTAGTAGTATTGATATTGCAATCATCAATACTGTTATTATCATTATTATCATTACTATCATTTATTATTTTATCAGTATCATCATTACTATCATTCTTACTATCATAATTATCATTATTATTAACATAATATCTATTATTGTCACTGTTATCTATCACTGTTATCATCATCACCATCATTATCGTCATAAGTAATACTATTAATATAATTACAGTTATCATCAATACCATCAGTATCATTACCATTAAACTCATTATCATAATGATTATTGGTATCATTATTATTGACCGAAAGAGCATGCATACATAATAAAAATCAGATAAATAGATAAATTTTTATTTATGTCCAATTTTTTTTCTTTTTTTTTGTTTTAGCTCGATATGGATATGAATTCAAGGAGCGCATCAGAATAAAACTATATTCATATCTACCCATCTGTATGTATGTGTGTAAATATTATATACTATATATATATATATATATATATATATATATAATATATATATATATATGTATATAATAATATATATATATATATATATATATATATATATATGTATATATATGTGTGTATATATATGTGTGTATATATATATAATATATATATATATATATATATATATATATAT